CTTTCTGTTGGTCGCTTGTTAGCAGACCCTTCACACGATGGCAGAGCGAACAGGTACAGGTACAGGCAGGGTCCATAATGATAGCCCTATAGTTTAAATCTACTACCCACACATGAACATATGGAAATGGGATACTATTTAAAAAAATAAATGTATTTATTAATGTATTTAGGAGCCTATCCATGTGATTTTTAGTGGGGGTCGACCTCAAATCCTCTAGGGGGGGTCCAGGGGCATGCCCCCCCGGTAAGATTTAATTTTTTATTTTGGAGTTAAATGCATCAATCTGGTGCATTTTGAGGGGGAAATAAAGAGACTAGATCTATGGAAACAGCTATATTAAACAGAACTGTATACATTTCAATAATCATAAAATCAAGGCCATAACCAATAACATCCCATTTCCAATATGAAAAAAACACTGAAACTTGTTTATTAATTTATTTTTGGTTCATTTATAGTTGTGAGTGTGTCTGTGCTCCTGAATCAGCCTCTCCTGTCTCCCTCCTCTCCCTCCTCTCCCCCTGCTCCTCTTTGAGGCAGCAGCAAAGACTAGTTTTCTCTCAACAAGTTTTAAAAGTGTATCTTACCTTTTTTCACCTAGTTAACTTTTTATTTATTTATTCATGCATATTTTACTAATCACATTACATTTCATTTAGCTGACGCTTTTATCCAAAGCGACTTATAATGACCTATTACAGGGACATTCTCCCTGGAGTAACTAAGGGCTAAGTGCCTTACTCAAGGGCACACTAGTGGTGGTGTTCCTGGCGGGATTTGAACTCACAGCCTTCCGATCTTCAGCCCACCTCACTATCCATTAGACCAATCACTACCCTCTCAAATGGAAATATGTGTTTACATAAATGGTGACCACACCGTTTGAGACCCACTGAGAACTTAGACTAAGTTAACTATCTAAACACTCAGAGAGTCCTTTACCTCACCTGAGCTGAGGTTATCCCGAGCTTGAATGACACACAGAGACCAATCAAGGGCTTTGATTTATGATCTGTATGACAGTGGCCATGTCGGCATCATGTGGACAGCCAGTCACCCTGTGTGAGGCAGGCCACTTAACAGGCCAGAAGGAGGCGAGATCAGAGCAAGGGAGCGAGGGATCATTGTCTACAAGTTAATCGATCGCAGATGGCGTCATGGTCACGGACGTATACAAAAAAACAAAACAAAAAAAAAAACCTAAATGGGTCGCGAAATATACTTGGGCGGCCGTTAATATACCTGGGCGGCCCGCCCAAGTATAGTCTATGTGTGGGAAACCCTGGATCAAATATGTTGTAGTGCACTGTCACAACCTAGCAAAGCAAAATAATCGTTTTTTCCGATTATGTTGTTTTCGTAATTGTGGCAGGCCAAAATCGTAATTGCGATTAAAATATGATTAATTGCACAGCCCTAACACACACACACACACACACACACACACACACACACACACACACACACACACACACACACACAACACACACACACACACACACACACACACACACACACACACACAAATACACACTTTTTGTCTAACACGCTAACACAGTTCTGTACTGTTACGCTGTTGTGTTCAGTCATTGTTCTTATGTTGAACATGAATACATTTACTTTGTAAGTGATTATGGGACGTATTTCTTCTTTATATACATTTTCCTTCATACTTTATTGCCGTGAAATAGGTCTTAAATTCTATTCAAAGTGGTCTTAAAAAGTGTTAAAAAGTCTTACATTTGAAATGGCGAAACCTGCAGGAACCCTGTACAATAAAAAGTCCTGCATTCAAAATGTTACAAGTAAAAGTACAAAAGTATTAGCATCAAAATATACTTAAAGTACCACCTGCAGAGGGATCTAGATTCAGGTGTTCTTTTCCCCATAGAGACGCCTCGCTGCACATTATCCCTTGCATAAAGATAGATTGTGGGTCCCTCATAACATGTTGTACACAGTGGAAATAAACATTCTGGTTGACTCAACATCAGGGATCTTATACATTAAACTCCTTCTGAATCAAACCGTCACGGTAGCCTTACCTTACTGATCCCTCTTAAATTAGAAAAACACACGTTACTTTACCAGCAGAGAGAAAATGGATTATTAAATTATTAATGTGACTAATAAAGAGCTGTTTGATTATTAAGTATTATTCTGTTGATCGATGTCATTACATTTGGTGAAAAACACATAATGACTTGTTTATGACTCGTTTTGTCAAAGTTTAGGACTTGACTTGACTTGAACTTGCCCATCCTGACTTGAGACTTGACTTGGACTTGCAAAACAATGACTTGAGACTTGACTTGGACTTGCAAAACAATGACTTGAGACTTGACTCGGACTTGAGCGCAAAGACTTGAGACTTGACTCGGACTTGCAAAACAATGACTTGGTCCCACCTCTGCCCAATAGCGATAGCCTTAGAGGGCTGCGCCATTTATGGCGCGTTTCCACTGCAGCGGGTAGCTCGCTTTAAGCGTGCCGAGCCGTGCGGGGCCCGTTTTTGGTTGTGCTTCCACTTGGCCTAGTCTTGGCCCGGGGCTACTTTTTCACCTTTTTTCTGGCCCGACTAAATCGTGGTTCTAGGGCCAGGAACAACCAGGCTGAGTCGGGCTGAGTATGCTAAACTAGAGAGAGAATCGCTGGCAAGGGGGCTACAACTACAACAAGATGAACATATTTGACCGTGATTTAATTGTAATACACGTTTCAAAATGATGCCGAAGTAACAACATACTGATACCAGTTAGTAAAAACCATGAATTAATGCTTTGACAAGTCTGCAGACAGACGGCATGCAGGCAAAAAACCATTTTAAAATGTGTGTTTTCTAAATGGAGCTTGGCTAAGCTAACGTTATGCTCCGACCGTCCACAGTCACAGCAACGGCCTATACAGACATAAATAAACCAGCGACTGTATTCACCATGACACAGGCAGTCTGTGGTTTGTACTTGTTTAACTTTTGTCTAGTTTCTGAACAGATATGAGGAGCTGTGAGCTCTGAGTGCTAAGAGCTAACGGCTGTGTTGTTTTTTGGGGCGCTCATTGAAGATGACGTCACGGTTCCGCCTACACTGCGTTACTATAGTAACTACCCCAGTTCCTAAACTGTAATGGAAGCGCAGCATTAAAGTGAGCCGGGCCTAATGAAGCCTAACCAAACCGAGCGAGGCCGAGCGAGGCCTGCAGTGGAAACGCGCCATTACTCATAGAAGCTGGGGTTACAGTAGGTAACCTTAGTTCCACAATGTAGACTTTACCAACAGCTGAGACTGACCCAACAACAACGTAACTTAAAATGACGGCATCACTAATCAAGGTTTTCTATCACCGTCCAAGTCTTTTCACATTGTCTTTTCATTAACAAGTGTTTAAAAAATGCCAGAGTTTCAGTGTCAGCCTGCTGCCTGGCACTCGTTTACCAGCAGACTGACCGTACATCAATCCTCTGTTTATTTGAATTAAACCACAAATCGAAGGTGAACATCTACTATAACATTGTTTAATTGTTTCCCTTTTTGAACATCATAATTGGGCTCATTATAGATTAAAAAGGCTATTATACATTGTTCTATATGATTGGCGAAAAACTTCAGAATCTGTATTTACCGCCCGCCATTGAAATGACAGCAAGTGTTTTCACCCAAGAGGGGCATGGCCTTGTGAAGCGAGAAAATACCCGGATGCTTTGAGTGTTCCGTGTTAACTTCCTGTCTGTCTTGTGTTGATTTCCCTGACGTTCATCTTAAACCTTTCCTTCTCCTGCGCATTTTTTCATTTGTTTTATGAGGACAGTTTAGCCATCATGAATCCAAAGTTTCGTGCCCTAACAAAATATTAAAGTCACAAGTGAATATTCAAAAAGTATTCCATAGTGTTTTTCTGATGGAGAAAACTAAAGTTTGTTGTCCAAAACTAATGTTCAATCGACCGGACTTCTTTCTGCAAATTGATATTATAGTCCCTTCATTGTCCTTACTTAGCAACGGTCATGTTATTCTTAGCAGCGGTTAGCGACCTCTGAAATGTCCAAATTGACCCGTAGAGTTTTGTTGATTCAGGTGTTAATTTGTCTTTCTGTCTCCAGGTTATAGATAATCTGTACATTAGTAGGTCAAATATTTAATTTCGTTGGAAAGTAAAATGGTTTTAGTCTAATAATTTCATATGCCGACTCATACCTGTCACTGATTGCAAAGTTTTTGGCTTTGGTTTTTGGTGTATATTAAACATGTTACTACAGTACTGTTCTGCAGGTAAAACCACATAAAGAAAATAATGAATTTGTCGTCGGTCTCCGTTTATTTATTTATTTGTATTTTTACACACAATTTACTAAACAGTCATTTGTTTGTAATTTTGAAAGAGAGGACATTTGAAGGTATGTATCCATGACAATAAAAAGTAGGCCTATGCAAAGCTTCAGGGTAAAGGTGCCCCATTTGAGTCTAGGATTGTAAAATAATATAGGCCTACTGTTGAAATTAATGTATTTGAAAAATAAAAAAGATCACGTTTGTGTCAAATAATAATTACGTTAGCATGACGTGACGTCGTCACATGATCTGTTCAACGACTCAGCTGTTGTGATGGTGACTTCAAGTACCGTCGGAAATCTTGCTACCTAGATGAAAAATATACGAGTTTCCAACAAGGAACAGCTCTTGATTCTTTACAAGATCCCAGCTGATGTTATGCATATGTTATCCTGTGTACAATTATAAATGCATTCTGAAATATCAGGCTACTTATACTTATTTAATTTTTTTCTGACAAGTCTCCTGTTTGTTTTGTTACTGTTGCACCAAAAATCGTGATGATTACAACATTACTATTACATATTAGTATAAGATTTGTATATTTTATCACCAGAATATAATAAAAGATGTATATTTCACATTAGAGCTTTATAATTTGACGTGTGATATCGGTTTTCCAGTAGAACTGTGAAGTAAAAGCTTTTGAGGAGCATTTGAAAGCAGCATGGGACAAGTGAGGGGAAAATAGGAAGAAATCCACGTAGCCTATTTTACATCGTCCAGCCGTGTATATGTCCTCAATTTGTATTTATTAAGAAACGCTGCTTTCAATAAGGCGGATAACATTATTCATAGTGGCGGGGTATGGCGGAATAGCCCATATTGGTCCAGTTTGCTGAAAGGGAGAGGACTAAAATGGAGCTGGAAGACGGAGTTGTGTACCAGGACGACCCGGGGACATCAGCGGTGATGTCTGAGCGGGTGTCGGGCCTGGCCAACTCCATCTACCGCGAGTTCGAGAGGCTCATCGGTAAATACGACGAGGACGTGGTGAAGGAGCTGATGCCGCTGGTGGTGGCCGTGCTGGAGAACCTGGACTCGGTGTTCGCGGAGAACCAGGAGCACGAAGTGGAGCTGGAGCTGCTGAAGGAGGACAACGAGCAGCTCATCACACAGTACGAGCGGGAGAAAGCGCTGAGGAAACATGCAGAGGAGGTGAGTTGAATGGAGCTGGGGAAAAACGACCCTAAGGGGAGGAAACAGGGGCGGCTTCAGGTGTTTGTCCCTCCCTGCATCCCTGGATGAATTCACCGTATACACGTGGCCTGGCAGCATCCCAACCGTCCTGACACGGTGATGTAAACAAGGCAGTGTCATGGCTAGCTTAAATGGCCCCGTCTTTGTATTAGCTGTGTGTCATAGTGGGATGGGAGTTCATTCTTCCGGGCAAGTTACACAAGTGTTGTTCTAACAAGATAATCCCCTCTCTGTCAAATATATCTTTAACCACCAGCTTGCATTTTGCATCAGAGAGTGAAGTAAAGCCTGTGAGACCCTGGCAACTGCAGATGATGTGACTCAGCTTTTTGGAGCATTTCAGTCTCATAAATTAAAAAAAACATACGGGGACAAGATGACAGACAGACAAGCAGTCACAATGATGAGAGATGTGCTTATAATAGGAAGTGCTTCACCCGAGCTATACCCTTATGATGAGCATAACCTCCACTACCAGCACACTGCACTCCTAGCAGGTCACCATGTCCACTCTTCACCAAAACACTTAAGCCATATTATCACCTCCTACATGATCACTCAATCATACATGGCAAATGGACTGCATTTACAAAACGCTTTTCCAGTGTCTTTGCGACTCATCAAAGCACTTTTCGTATATAAATCAGCATTCACTCATTAATACAGTGGTCCAGGCTGCCATACAAGGTGTAACCTGCTCAGGGAAACGTTCACACACATTCACACACCATGTCATCAGGAGCAACTTGGGGTGAAGTATACTGCCCAAGGACACATCGACATGTTGACTGCAGGATGAAACACAGACGATCCAATTGATAGACTATCTCTCTACCTCACACAGCATCCGCCCATATCAGGCAGAAAACTTCACAGTGAACACAAGAGTGTATTCAGGATAATGTGCCATCTACACTCAAAGCTGGTCACTTCGCTCCAATTTCCCCTAGGCCAGGAGACAGATCCCAGTCAAACTTGCTTTAACAGGTTAATGGAGGAAAAAGACGATGAGATCAGTTTCCCTTACTTAAAGGAATATTACACTCCCATAAAGTTGAGACTTGATATAGAAAAAAAGATGATATAAAGTAAACAATGGCGATATAAAAATAGCTCTGATTTAATGCAGCAGAGGCTCACCTGCCTGTTAGTCCTAAGTATGGTTAAAGCTTAACAAGACGTTGGATCTAAATCGACTTCATAGCTTGTCTCATTAGATTCACCATAAATGCCTCACATCTTCAAACTTCAAATCTTCCGTCATTCTTTCTGTTATTAATGTGTACTTTCCTAAACCCAAGCGGTGATGATTACAGATTGTTATTTATTCGTACTCCTCAGCCACGTAAGACATTATGCAACTGTTACAAATATGAAATCACGTCAGCATCTGCTGCTACACACACATTATGATGTGGAACACCTTCCAACTAAATGTCTGTATTTTGTAGCAAAAGGCTAAATAAAAAGGGGAATTTGTGTGTGTGTGTGTGTGTGTGTGTGTGTGTGTGTCATATGTCAGGCTGCTTGTGTTTTGACTGCAACAATGGCCACATTCGTGTGATTTACATGTGTGAATCTGCCTCCTGGCCCTTATGTCAAAGGATATGATGTGACTCAGACCTTCTGTTCCTGCTTGCTTTGCTCTTGTATGCTAAGGACATGTACACACACACACACACACACACACACACACACACACACACACACACACACACACACACACACACACACACACACACACACACACACACACACACACACACACACACCACACACACACCGAAGCAGTGTGACAGCCATGGACACAAACACTCATACACATGCAGAATACCACTGATACCTTAATACATCATTGTTTGTTATGGTAACCATGTCAAATATATATGCACAGTGTTGAGGGGGTTGTCCTGGGAAAGACTCTTTGACCACTCCCCTGAGCAGGAGCGAGCAGGGATAGGCTGAGCCTGTTGGAGATATTACTTCCAGGTCATGTGATCCTTTGTCAGAAACAAGCAGAAAGGGAACTTCCCCTAGCTTGCATTTTGATTCCTTTCCCCTTTTTTTGGTTTGAGTGTCAAATTCTGGTGTCTCAGGCTGACCCTGTCACATTTCCAGAGTAGTGTAGGGTGTCCCCTTACTCTCTAGGAGGCTGACTCCACATCAGATTGATTGATTCTTCAAAACCTTCTAGACCATTCATGGCTTTTTGACTCGTAGATTTCTGACCAACATAAAAAAGATAACATGTTCAACCTCTCCTCCCGCTCTGTTATTATTGCTCTCCTGTTTCCATTAGTCTCCATTGTAATTTCGAGACATAGACATGAAATGACACATTGCAAATTACTTCATTTTATTAATGCTGACATTACATTTAATAAAGTCTGAAGCATCCGTCATAACATTAAAAGTCATTCACAGCCTTTTCCAGTTTGCCATTGCTTCCAAATCTGCTTTGCCGCTGCTTTCTTTTGTTATACACGTTATCGAAACCATCAATCATCACTTTATGACTATGGGGATTGCTACTGATGAGATGTGCTGCATATAAATACATTGTTAATCAGCAACTATGACTAAGCTGAAGATCACTTTAATCTTGAGCTTAGTACAACATTGTAATGTAACCTTTAGTAGGACAAAGTGTCAAGAGGGAGAGGGCAGTCCTGTTCGGACCCTGGCTTTCTCAAAGGGACAGGATGTGGACGCGGACACATAAACACCGGAAGGAAACACAAAGGAGCTGGAATTCCCGGATGAACGGATAAATCTAGATCCCTTCTGTTTTAATGACAAACCAGACATTTCCTTACATCCACCCCTACAATATTACAACATGTTGTGAAAATGGCGTCACAGTGACACATGTCATCTGGGAAATGATGTAATGCACTGTGTCTAATGCTACAATTATTTCTTATTATTGATGACTTTGCTAATTGTTCTTTATCCATCAATAGTTTTAAGCAAATGTCAAAAATAAGTTGAAAATGTTTATCAAAACTTCCCAGTTTTTTAAGGTGACACTGTCACTTTGTCGAGGAGTAAACCACTGCATGCTAGGTGTGTGGGAGAGAAAGTGCCTCTGTAGGAAACTTTGGGATTATAGCCATTTCCATGTATATAAAACACTACAGGAAAAGAAAACCTCCAAAAAGCCTAATAGGGCTCTTTTAAAACAAATGCATTTTGATTTTGGGTTTCTGATCTGGTGCCAATGAATCTGACCATGTGTGTTTGTGTTTCTGTGTGCGTCTCTGAGCAGAAGTTCATTGAGTTTGAGGACACTCATGAACAGGATAAGAAAGACCTGCAGAACCGCGTGGACCGAATGGAGTCCCACTCGCGGCAACTGGAACTCAAGATCAAAAACTACGCAGACCAGAGTAAGCACAAACACAACGCACACACACAGCTACATTTCCCTGCACATTCAATTTGATGATTTATAAAATACCATATAGCTCTCAATACAACCACTGTTCTCCATTGAATAAACATTTCATTCCTTGCTATAAAAATAAACTTTCTCAGTATGATGTTGTGTTCCCATGTACAAGGCTTTTCATTTCTCCTCTCTGCTTTTCAGGTTTTCTTTACTCTCCTTCTTCACTTGTTTGATGTTCCACATGGCTTGTTATGATGACTTAGTCTCTCTGCACACACACACACACACACACACACACACACACACACACACACACACACACACACACACACACACACACACACACACACACACACACACACACACACATACAACTGTACGTACTCACACTCTCCCTCGAGTGTAACAGTAATGGGATTATATGATTTCTGTTATTCAAGTCCTCCTAATGCCACAGTGCATTACCGCCCATCTTATTGGTAGATTAAGGAATGGAGGCAAAGTGATTGACTCACACAATATGTCTTCTTAGAAAGAGTGGATTCACACAATGACCGGTCAGTCCAGTGTCTAGTGACAGAGCGACACAAAAAGCTGCTTACAAATGTGCGTTTTTTCACACAAAGCTGTCGAAGTGAAGGAAATGCCAGCATTAAGTTCTTCCATTGTTAAGCAGAGCAGCCATAAGTAGCTGAGGGTTTGTCTGTTCTGAAAAATAAGATCCGTGAATCTACACGTTCATGTGCTGAGTGCTCAATCCACCCTCTGCCACTCCCATTGAATAGTCAATCATTCATTACTGAATGGTGCAGCACGTCAGCTTTGTGCGTCCTGAGGCATCGAGGACTATAGCTCAGATTTGTTAGGCACAGAAAAGACCAATCATTTAGCAGTTTAGTTTTTTTGGAATCAGTAGTTATATTCATGTTGTTCTGCACTCCCATTGGGCACAATCTCAATTTGTATCATTATCTGTTCCGTGGGATCAGAGATTGTGCCTGATGTTGACGAGTTGAGATATAGGACGCTGCTTTGTATAACAGATGAATTGAATCACAGTGAGGCCCTTTTAATGGTTTATGAGACAGCAGTAACGCTTCATCATGTTATCTGCTGACCAAGTAAAAGGCATTCAATAATCTGATGAGGAAGACATAGATGCACATCTCACCCTTTTGGCTCCCCAGAAGATGTGTATCATGTTAAATGGATAATCAGGGAAATCACACTGTTGGCTTTTCTATGGACTTGTATTACAAATCGAAACATCTTTCAGTGTTAAACAGCTTTTTAGGGTAAATTAATTATTCATTAAATCAATATCATTGGATTAATGTTCAGCCGCACATTCAGCTTCTCCACTCAGTGATTTGCCAAACGTGCAAAGCACTAATGCGAACACACAGGAGGGATTAGTCTCCACTGTGTAAATCCTTCCTTACTTCACTTCAATGCACGTCTCCATCCCGGGGTAATGCCAACATACACACATAGGCAATACATCCTCACACGACGTGCAGAAGCTTTAGCTGCTGTAAGTGATAGTATCCAGCCTGTATGCTGTATATCCGACTGTCGCAGTAGCTCTCCGCGTGGCTTAGGCTAGACCTGACGTGTTAATAAGGGATTAGGGTTCTTTTCATTTCACAAGTGAGCCCAACATTGAAACCCATTTGAGTGAGATTACCCCCTCTGCCTTTCCCAGTCCCTTCATGGTAGAGCAGAGTTTTGCAAGTGGGATATGCACACTTTGTAATGCACTACAATGGTACAGCAGATTTGAAGCTACTGCCAGCAGCTGGCTAACCTAATTTAGGGGACAGAGGGGGAAATCAGCATCTCTAAAGTCAAATGACTGGGCAAGAAAACATAACCCCTTTTAAAACGGTGCATATGACCCTTTTGGTTTGTGTACAAACAAGATAATGATGTATTATTTTAATTGAACAATAGTTCATAGACAAAGCATGATCCTTGTCATGTGCCTTGTAAATGAGTCAGCCTATCCTGACCTGTGTTGTGTTCTGTCTCAGTTGCCAGGTTAGAAGAACGGGAATTGGAGCTAAAGAAAGAATTCAACTCCCTGCATCAGCGACACACAGAGGTAAGGACAAAGAACAAAAGAAAATAAATTGTGCCGAGTTGTAATTATTGAGCACCTCCATCAACTGTGTCCTCTGGATCTTTGCTTTGACTTCTGCAGATGATCCATAACTATATGGAGCATGTAGAGAGGATCAAACTGCAGCAGATAAGTGAGACTTCAGAGTCAAGCGCTGTCGGCAGAGTCAGGTAAGACGTTTTTATGCTTCATATTGGATGGAAGGTAGAGATGGGGAAGCTAACAAGTCAAATACTTGCTAACCTCATGAAGACGGTTATACAATTAGAGAGTTGGTCGTGGGAGTTGTAAAATACGTTTAATTACAAAAATAATAAGAGGCTTTAGCTGATGTGATGCATCCCTATTTGTTTGTTTTTTTCACACACTTGGTTTTAGTAAGTGCCAACTTGGAAATAACTGGAAAAAAATGTGGTTGACATGGACATCTTTTCCCTAAATGCTCTGTACAATAAATGCTCTGCTTTTCAGGATGAACCCTTTCTGTCATGGCTCACCACATACAAGCCAAACCTGTGAACAAGTTAATGTCAATTTATAGTAGAACTTATTTTTGGGGGCGCTCAAATAATTGTTCACAATTATGTTTCACTATTGAATACATTTTTACCAATTTTCCAGTTTAGTTCCAGCAGGAGAAAGCATAGTTTTACATTAAATAGTGTTGCAGTTTTTTTTTTACTTTTATAGTATTTACAGTATACATATCTTTTTTTTAAAGTTTATAAAAAGTCAAGTTAACAGTAAAAGAAAACAACCTGCAAATCAAAACACTCATGTCCCTCCAGGAAAGATCGGCCTCTTTCTTTGTGCGTCTTCCCGTCTGCTGGCGGCGCGCCTGTGCTGACCCCCAACCCGCAGGCCAGAGCAGAGACCCCGGGCACCGAGGGCTGGAAGTTCACCGACCCAGCGCGCTCCAACGCCAGCCTCAAGGTGGGTGTGTGGACGCACAATAGGTCCAAAATGATGACTTTTTCTAGTGTTTCTCTTTTCCGCAAGGAGTTCATTATTGCCTGCATCAGACTAGTTGAGAGCAGCCTGAAAACTGCAGGGATTTCAGATTAAAAATGAACTTCAGATATGCAGTTTAGTATAGTGAAAGATAAATGATTTACTGTATCCCCCTCCTTATCTGTGGTCCAGGGTATCAGATGTGCCTCCTTTCCGGTGAGATGTTGAATTCTGATTGTCCTCTCTAAACTATCATGATATTGAATACAAAATAAATAAATATGCATTACATTTTTTCATCCCTTAATATTAAGTACTACCTGAACCCTCGCATCATTTAGCAGTTTGATCAAAATGAGCAACATACAATACAAAGATGTAAAGAATATGGTTATGTTGTGGCGATCCAGCATCACAACAGGAAAGAGTGAAACAGAGGAATCAATAAAACACAAACACAGATATATCTGATCAGTAATTATTATTTAGTTGTTGCAACAAACAATCAATAATGGGGAGTACATCACCTGCTGCCACAGCAGCCACTCGCGGAACTGCCCCCCAAGACCAGAAAGATCTCATGTGCTTTATACATGTAAAACACACACGAACAACACACACTTGAAACAGCATACGTGGCAGAGATGTTCCAACCTTATACAGTCATATATGTTGCATCCTCTGAGTTCTACATGATCCCAGATTTCATGACCTTATTTAGCAGCTACCACACATGTCAATGTATACAACTTCTGGTGAAGGGTTTCAACTGATTGCCTATAGATGGGCCTCCTTCCAGCAAACCAAATGAACAACACACCGTCCACTATACTGTGGCTTATACCATGGTATAAGCCACAGTATAGTGGACGGTGTGTTAATGTCACATGGATGTGACATTAATGAATATACCAGAAATACGCTGTAATAAACATTATGCTATAACAGTTATAATCCCTTTTTCTTAGCTGAGCATTTCAAGACATCCTGCCAGTGCTAGAATATAGAGCCGCTTTGGATCACTTTAAAAAATAGAGAGCCTTTGATAAGGCTCCGGCGTGCTTAAGGCGTCTGACAAGGCCATCTCTGTTTTTAGACATCCTCCTCTTTAGCCATTGATGAATATGCACACTTGTCTGTTCTCTTGATGCAGCAGTCGGAGCAGATCATTAAATGTTTCACATGAATATTCACAAACACAATAAATACAATAATCTACTTGATGCAGTTGTAAATTATGATACCAAGCTGTGTGATATGTTTATTTTCAGTGATTTCAGATCATGTTACAGTGCCTTAAATACTATCAGAAACAAGTCATTATTTAGACGTAATTATGGTTATGTTCTGACAGATCAAATGAAACCGTTTTCTATGCAAAACAGTGACTGGAAATACATTCGACGTTTGTATCTGTGGCAGTTAAAACCTGGAGGGTGACTATGTTACTTCATCCCACTGCACCGTCTTTGTTAAAACTGGGACATCAGCTCTGTGGCGCAATGCATGATGGGAGTGATGCCGCTGTATGGCTCGCAGCCAGTCACTGAAGGAAATAAGGCTAGCTGGGATGTGATTAGTTGTTATGTAATCACTGCTACAGGACGCTTATTGTGAACGGCCTTTTGAACATGAGTGGCTGTACTATGCAGACAGAGACCTCATACTTATTTACCAACATGGATATTGCTTCAAGTTAAAGAGACGACAGGTCAATGAGGTGTTTATACCCGCATGCCAGCCATGATCTAATCCTCATCCACAATATGCGTCATTTAACGAAGAACATCCCATTAAAGCTGGCATTATTATATCGCTTTTTAAATCACTGCTTTTTGTCTCATTAAGGGTTTAATGATAAAGCAACTTCAATGAAAGTAGCACTCAAACTTTGTATAAAGGTCATGGGCATTACAAATACTACTGCTTGAGTGAAAACAAATGTATAAAGCCTGCACCAAATCTGATGAATGACCGCTGGGGCTGAAGAGTCGAAGCTTGAAAATAGAAAAATCTGGTATATTAAAATGAAACACAAGTGAGACCTCTTTAGCCGCTTCCTATCTCTGCTCAAAGCTACTTTAGCCACTACCACAAACCCAAACAGACATTGATCAACTAATTGTTTCAACTTTACAAATGTTAACATTGAACACTTTTAAAGTATATGTATTTTAACGGTGTATCATATGCAGACAATTATTTACAGAATAAATGAATTAACTTTAAATCACACACACACACACACACACACACACACACACACACACACACACACACACACACACACACACACACACCACAGACATGCACACTTTGGGGTGTATGCATTTCTGCTGAACTGCTTCTGCACACGTGAGCTTCATTCTTACTCTCCCCCCCCCCCCCAAAGCAGTTGGACTTTATCGACCCCCCAAAGGAAAGGGAGGGTAAGAGTGCGCAGGACTCTACTTGGGGGAATTCAATGGCACACGGCTGCAAGGTAGTTGGATGAGCGGCGGAAGTGCCAGCGGCGTCTGTGTTTGCGTGTGTGTGGGCTTCAGTAGTCCCCCCCCCCCCCCCCACTATTCTGTTTCATCATTTCAAAAGCTTCGCCTCACTTTGTTCATTTATAGAACCTCACTTCACAGACCACCTGCGCTAGATGGTGCCACATGCAACCATGCCCTGTATGAAGGCCACAATGAGGTCTTTTAAAAATCTTGGTGCAAAAAAAACTTCAGCTGTGTCACAGATGGGTTGATTGTTAATCTTTTAAAATCAATAACGGCATGGTTGCATTTGGCCGTTGATTTTGTTTTTTTCTTTTAAATGCATGACTTTTAGATTAAACATGCTTCTTTGTATTTGTGTTTCATTCATGCAGATCTTCAACGTAGCAGTAGCGTCACTCATTGTACAATAACATGGCATCATTCATTCAAATAGTCTTCTTTTTCTGTCACTGCTGGATTTGTGTAACATTAGGTCTTTGATGAGTGGATTTATATTTCAGTTGTTTCTGTTTACTCGTCTGTTGTTAAGTATTATGTGGGTTTGTGTTGTTTTGTGTACTAGATTTAGATAGACAGCTATGATTGTGGTCATTTCTAATTTCAGTTAACGTCGTGTGAAGCCCCCCTCTCCCGCAATCTGTGTGTGGGCTCTTCCTTGTCTGTGTTTGTGTGCTAACTCTGTGTTGCTAATGTTTTCTCTCTGCATCTGACTTTGATGCAACTAAAACTTTTGTCTTTAATGGTTCTTTAGCATTTAGTTTTTTAACATCCTATTGTTTTCATAAGATCCAATTTCGAAAAAAAAAAAATATGTGTAGCGGATTTGAGGTAGATTTTTACTCGAGATACTTATAATGCTCATGCTCTTCACAATAATAATAATAGATTTATTTTGTTAGCGCTTTTACAGGTGCAAAAAATGTAATACAATACAATGTAATACAATTGTAATTGTAATACAATGTAAGAGCTGAGAGAAATTGGACTCTTGTGTTTTGTGTAATACTGCATGTAGCGTGTGTAGTGAACATCTTACCTTCTCTAGTTTGTGTTTAGCGCCTGTATTCAATGTCTGATCGTAAACTGTGTTGTTATCTTTGTTCTCCCAATGTTTTTTGTATTTTATTTTGTAAACGTATTGGCACTGTGTCATTAGACCCGACTCTTTGAATGGCTATCTGTGTTTTTCCCGTTGTTATGACGCTTCTTTTTATTGCAGGACGAGCTGTTGGACTTTAACGGATCCAAGTCAGCCACACCAGCAACAGCTTCGGACATGGAGCGGGCCCATGGGAAGAGTAAGAACATGGAGGTGCAGGCTGCACCGGGGACCGGCTCCATATTAGTGGGTAGGGTCAAACATCATGCATTAGTGAGAGAATCACACTCATTAGTAGGGCTGCTCGATTATGGCAAAAATCATAATCTCGATTATTTGGGTCAATAATTGTAATTGCGATTATTAAATGCGATTATTCATTGACTTTGAAAACATCCATTTATTGGAGACATTTTTTTTTTGAACAGTATGTTTTTAACAGTTGATTACCCTGAACTTTAAGTATAATTAAACTGAAAAACCAAAAAAAAAAAAAAAGTAATAATAAAAAAATAATCGTTTTAGTTCGATGCCGTTGTTTTCGTAATCGTTGCAAGCCATAATTGTAATCGCGATTAAAATATGATTAATTGAGCAGCCCTACTCATTAGTCATCCATTAGTCTCGTGGCCTTCAATTAGGTCTCTATATTTTACGACATAGGGGTTTGGCATACAGTGGGTTTTGTATAATATATTGTTGTTACTAAACATCCTGATCCTGGTGCATGTTTTTGCAGAGTTTTGCTCATGAACCTTCTTTCCTGCTCTTCCTTGTCTCGCAGGTTTACCTGAAAATGAGGACAGCTCAGATATGCAGGACATCATCGAGTCCACCCCTGAGCTGGACATGGATCTCATTGGATACAAGCCCGGCAGGTAGTGTAGAGAACATGCTGTCTGGCCAGGTTTAAGAAAAGTCTTAGCACGTAGCATAACATTACATTACATTACATGTCACTTGTTAGACGCTTTTATCCAAAGCGACTTACATACTCAATACTGTGGGCAATCCCCATCATCACTAACATCACCTCCTGTTCCGTCTGCTCTTCCAGTACTCCAACTAAAGGGATTGAGAACCTGGCGTTTGACCGAAACACAGAGTCTCTGTTTGAAGAGCTGTCGTCAGCGGGCACTGGACTCATAGGGGATGTGGATGATGGGGCCGACCTGCTGGGTGAGTCACAAATGCATTGAAATGGAGTCCTGCAGCAGCAATCCTGTAAGATCCTCTATAAACAATGCATCTGCTTTGTGTGGTATAGTCTTTATGAAGTATTTTAAAATCACTGAATTATATTGAATGTCTTTTTCTGTTTTCTGAGTATTTAATATATATTAGTTTTATACAGTTTTCAATGTTTTGAATGTTGTGTGAAGATTCATGTCATGGTGATTTGTTGAAAAGATGATATGACATCAGGCATTTTCTCAATAATCATAATCATTTAAAACTGTTTATTGTGTTGAATTATTGAAATGTTTTACATACAAATTAACTGAATAATAACTCTGAATAATTCTGAAACATACCCATAAGGCACTTTTACCAGCACTCTATGCTTGACTAGCAGCTGTTGCTCTCCTGATGGTACAAGTTTAAAACTCATTGTTACTCCAACGCCTGCTGTTTGCTACAATGCTACACCACTTGCTTTGGTTCAGCTGTTATACGCATTGTTAGCCATGTACCCATGTTAACATCACCTCTCTCTCTCCCGTGTCTCATCCTCTGGCTTTTGTCCATAAACCCAGTGGAGTACTCTGGTGTGTATGACCTCAAACCTTTCCATAGTTTAAAACCTGTGTGATGTCCCTTTTGCCTCTACTCATGAATCACTTTCTGCCATATCAATTACTACTACTACCATTGCTCAAAGCTTCTTCTTGATTATGTTAATCAACACTATGCATACAGTTGATTCAGTAATGTGACGTTTACATGTTTTTAGCAGCCTACTAATGACAGTTTGGTGCATGGATGATGGAGTACAATGCTTCCTTTTTCGGCCTAACTTTTCTTTTTACAGTTTCAATTATTTTTGTTTTCCTGTTTTCCTTCTGTGCACTTCTGCAAATGTCTTATCTAACTAGCTTTAGAGACCCAGCAGCATCATTAGCTGGTGGAGTCAAGAGCTACACGTTTAGCTCTGGCTCCTTCCTCATTTTGGTCATCCCACTGTCTCACACTATATCCGCATCTCTCTCTCTCTCTCTCTTCCTTGCTCTTTCCGCCTGACTTGGATTGCATGGTTTTCTCAGACCTTAGTTTGATTGGTAAGACCCCACCCACTCTATCCATCCTTCTCCTGTCAGTCATGTGACATGTGCTGTGGGTGTGTGTGTTTGTGGTAGATTAGTGTGATGTGAAACCTACAGTGACAAATATCTCACTTGGAGATATTTCACATACTATGTAGTGTCTTGTTTGATTTCCACCCTTGTATAAATAATCTGTAGTGATGCATATTAATCCGTAGCGTTTATGTAGTTGTTGTTTTAATGTAATATAACTGAAACTAAATCATCGTCTCTGTTCAGGTATGGGCCGGGAAGTTGAAAATCTAATTCAGGAGAATTCACAGCTGCTTGAGACAAAGTTAGTACATTCACTTTTTGTATGTGATATCTTCTCAATCGTTCCTGTTAGAACAAGTGGAAAGTATTTTACGCATGAATTAAAATGTTGTTTTTGTGTCCAGGAATGCTCTGAACGTGGTGAACAAAGACTTGATACTGAAGCTGGACGAGTTGACCTGTGAGAAGGAGATGCTGCAGGGAGAGATGGAGGCTGTGCTGCAGGCCAAGGCCAAGATGGAGGACAAGAACAGAGAGGTGGAGGAGGAACTCAAAAAGTAGGTCAACAGTCAGCAGGAAGCCAGTATCAGCATATAACAACTGGGCTAAAGTATATTGTAAATGAACAGAACTGGATTCTTTAATTGGATATTTTTCCCTACTTTATTCATTTCCTGTATAAATGGTGTTTTCCAGAATACGACTGGAGGTGGAGGAAGTGAAAAGCAAAACTAAAGAGGAGGAAGACGTGAGTTGTTTTTGTCTGCAATCAAAGATGTTATTGGGCATGGGACCTTGATTATCCCAGCAAAACAGTTCTTAATTCATCAGGATATCCGAATCATTATCAAAACATAAGATTCTTCAGATGCCAGTAAAACACTGATGTCTCTTAACCTTACATTTGTCATGAAACAAATGGTTTAATTGCATCACAGATACAGTAGAACCACACATCTAAAAAAACACAATCCGAAATGTCTCAAGTCTAAATCATATGGTCCCCCTATAAATAAAGGATGGATAAATAAAATAAAATAGCAACATTTAGTGAGTCTGTAGCGGATGTTCAAGATGTATTGTAATCCCTTGTTGATAAATGTGTTTCTGCGTAGTCACGTGTGGGTTTTATCGTGTTTTGCCACAGAGCGATGTACCTACCGCTCAGAGGAAGCGCTTCACCAGAGTGGAAATGGCCAGAGTGCTGATGGAGAGGAACCAGTACAAAGAGAGGCTGATGGAGCTGCAGGAAGCTGTGCGGTGGACAGAGATGATCCGGTACAGAATCAACAGCCTGCACATTTACACACGTACATCATGATATTATAGTTTACACTAAGGTTATTATTGGAGTGTGATCACAGATTGTGCTAGACTGTGGTAAAGTGTCTGACACTCACAATGACTTTTCACCACATTAAAACTGGTTTCCTCATTTTGCTTTTGTATTCACTCAAATCAAACTGACACTATGACCATGAAACATGATTATAATATTTGAAGGAATTAAACAAAGATGGTGTGCTTCTGCCCAAAGGACTCGTGCAACATGCCAAACATGTTTCATTATTTTTCAGACGCCCTCAACTTGTGTGTAATGACCCTGACATTTGGTAACATGATATCATCTTGTCTTTTCTCCAGGGCCTCGAGAGAAAATCCATCACTGTCAGAAAAAAAGAAATCCAGCATCTGGCAGTTGTAAGTCCTCCCAAGTGTAATGTTTCTTTCTGTCTTTAACCATCTTGATCAGGGCTTTACTTTGTTGACAGTCTGTTGAGGTCAACTCCTCCTCTAATATTTCCGTGCAACTATTCAAATATATTTTTCTTCTCTCTTCCTGGGATGTGCTGTTGAATTGGCAGCATTAGGTAAAGATGGTTTAATAAACATTCACCCAGCCAAACCTCTCTTCTTCCCCCCCCCCTTGACACAGAACTGCTCCTCCATTACAAATGGATCCAACTTTGATGTGTCTTTATCCATGACTTTCTCTCTCCGTGCAGTGCATCAGTTGTTGTTATCAAACATTGCTCAGACATGACTCTCCTTGTGCCCCCGGGCTTTCCTGCCTCCCGCCTGCTGTGTGCCTTTTTTTATTTATGTTTTCCTACTCTGTCTGCTCATAGGGAGCTACAGATGGACTGACTCTGCAGCAGGCTGAATACATGTACATGATCTGTTTAAAGTCACCTGCAGATCAGGATGCATTTTAACACATTAAGTCTCTTTCTTTTACTCGGCTTATTTTAGTTGACATCATTAATATATTGGTTGAAAATAACAAGCCGTAAGCTAATACCTCATGTGTTATTTGATTTGACTTTCAGCTCAATTGTCCCTCATAAACTGCTGGAGAAGCATCAGTGCTCAGTCTGTTATCATTAGAAATACATATTTTGAAGGATACATTTTGTATAATCAGATCATATTTCCCCACTCATGTTGATAAGAATTTGGAACAAATATAAAAAAAGGTACATTTAGAACGGAAACAAATATGTGCAATTAATTTGCGAGTTAACTATAGACCTCTTGCAATTAATCAGGATTCAATATTTGACTCGATTCACAGCCCTGGTGTTGCCACATTGTTTCGATATTTCTGCATTATATAGTTGATGTGGAAACTATGATTCAACTTCCATTATGAAATCATTAATTCAGCACTTTCAGAAACTGCCACGTTCATTTGATTTGTTTATTTGAAACTTGAATTTACACATGCTTATTATACATGCTAAGTGTAAATCTATCTACTTTGACACTTAAGATACTGGAGACACTTGGTGCTAAAGAAACAACTGGGTTAGTGCTAAAAAACATTGATCATTTCACAGTTAGTGAAATGTGATGGGAAATGTTTAATTATTCCAGAACTCCCAGCATGCATTGTACAGTAAATGTTGGTGTCACTTCCTTGGTTGTCTGGTTGGTTGGTGACCCCCCCCTCCTTGCTTTGTCCCTGCTCTCCTGTCTGCTCTTGGCTTTCTGTAACTCTGCCACCTGCAGCTTCAGCAGACTGTTTAGCTCCTCCTCCAGTTCCCCCACCATGAAGAAGGTGGAGTGCCAGTCCATCATGAAGTACAACGCCCCGGGCGGCATGGTGAAGAGGAGCAGCACCTTCTCCCAGTTCCCCACGGAAAAGTCCAAGACATTCGACTTCCTCAATGAAGAGTGAGTCAAATAACTGAGTTATGTGTAGACCAGCTTCATTTGGAGTTTATCGAACTGAACATGCTGAGGGAAATTCAGAAAAAGGTCCAATATGTCAAGCGTATATTAATATAAACCTCAAAAAGGTATAGAAAATCCATGATTATATTCCAATTAGATGAGATTTCTAAAGCAGTGCAAGCAATATAGCTTTGATGTCCTTCATAACTCATTCCAGATATATTTCTAACAATACAGGGTGTCCGCGGGGTCTTAAAAAGTATTACAAGTTGATAAATCAGTTTAGCGAAAATTAAGGCTATTAAAAAGTATTAAACTGCATTTTCCAAGGTATTACATTTTGTAGCTTGTTTTCAATAAGTATATAAATTGTCCAAAGAGGTTGTATTCTACAGTCTGCCTGAATGTAATCATTGCGTAGGTGTGTAGTGTGATTCTGTGTAGTTTATTGATGGCATCCCGTTGGATTTGACGTCATCTGAACAGGACATCGCACGCTCACTGCTTGATAGCGCGCTAAGCTCCGTTTACGCCGGTTGTTAAACAACATCGTTATGAGGAAATGCAAGTCTGCGTCCAAATGGTTGGAAGATAAGGAGGAAGGACAATCAATACTGTGTATATAGTCAATGTGAGGTAAAGTGTGTCGCCAATGTAACCGGTTAAAACTCGAAGTGGCGATGAGATCTTCAAATGTATGGAAAGGGTCTTAAAAAAGGTCTTAAAAGGTTTTACATTTGACTTCAGGATTCCTGCATATACCCTGCAATATTATTTTCACGTAAAAGCCTGCAACATGCACATGTATCTACAGCATCTGTAAGCTAATGACATTTCTCTATCTTTGCTCTCCTTGTAGAAAGGACTTGTGCAGCTCTCCATCCCGTAAAGAGCAGAAGAGAGCTCAGTACCGGCAGGTCAAGGCCCACATGCAGAAGGAGGATGGACGAGTCACCGCGCACGGCTGGAGCCTGCCCAGCAAATTCAAGGTAGGACATGAGTCACACAGGAGGATCTATGGCTTTTCTTCCTCATTGTATAATTATTGTCATTCTAGACCGTGATTTGGTTTGGTTCAGTTTTTACACTTTCTTTAAAAAAGAAACATTAATTGAAGTTGTCCACCAGATGGTGCTCCACCTTTATAAGATTAGACATACAGTATGTGTAGGAATATTTGTTGTGTCCATTAAATGTACACTCTTGAATGTATGTGTCGTTTTTGTTTTCTGTCCCTATATGGGCTCTATGTTCATGTTAATGCCAGTAAATGACGTGTGCCACACTGGGCTAACCTCAGACAAAATCAAAAGGGCCCCTCCCTTATATACAAACCATCCCCTTGAAATCAGGAAGTGACTTATCAATTCTGATACCAAGACGTTTTAGATATGACTGACAACGATTAAATAGACGATATGTTGTGTTTAAGACAGGTCAAGTGCATTGCAGTGCGAGCCATCTTTGCCCTGAGCCTCTTCCTACTAAACCAAGAGCTAGTCCTTGCACAGTTTAAAAAAAAAAAAAACTATGAGTGGATACTAAACAGAAAAAACACATTGGTAATTTTATTTAACCTAGTTCCTGTAAAAAACACCTTATTTGTCTGTTTCCAAAGTGATGTGTAACAAAACACACATCGGCATAGAAAGCATGGTTGGTTACTGAAATCAAGATGTGTTGATCACGTTGCCTTTCTTTCTCTAAATGTGTGTGATAATGTGTTTTAAAGTCTCATCCCTTTGCCTGTGCTTGTTATACCCTGACAGGTAGCAAATGGTGGACAAGTGGAGAACAAAATGAAATTGCCTGTACCGGTATACTTGAGACCTCTGGATCAGAAAGATGCTTCTATGAAGGTACACACGAGTCAACAACTTAACGCTTTAATACAAGAAGAATACTGTGATACTTTTCTTGAATAAACCTGACATGTCTCTGTTCCCCAGCTGTGGTGCGCTGCGGGGGTCGACTTGTCCGGAGCGAGAACATTACCGGAGCTCGTGAAGCAGACAAAGGGTTCTCAGAGTAGCCTGAACCACTTAGAGCAAGAGAGCAAGGTAAGAGTAGGTGATCCAAGAAAGAGGCATTACGTTAGAAAGCTATCTTTCTTACATTTTGGTCTAAATTCTGTTGAGTCTATTTGCTGATCTTAGTGTTTGTCTTTAAGGATCCGGAGAAAGGGGAGAAGGAGCTGGTCCTCCAGGACGAGACGTCCAGTCGGGTGTGGGTCTGCACCAGCACCCACTCCTCCACCAAGGTGATGGTGCTGGATGCCAGTCAGCCCTCTGACCTGCTCGACAGCTTCTACGCCTGCAACACACACGTCGTCTGCATAGCCAGCGTTCCAGGTAGGCTGAGTGATTACTTATTTATTTATTCTGTCTTTTTGTTTTAAACATTCATGAGTAAGCCCATTGAGGTCAAAATATTTCTTACAACAGAAACCTAGCCAAGGTAGCAGCCATACGAAATCACGTAGATATACAAAAGTAACTGAAGAAAACTGAAGAATAGCTGTAAGTGGCCTCTCAAGAACAACAAACAAATGCCCTTAAGTTCATAGATGAATACAAATGTTTCTAATTATAGATCTGTTTGTAGATTATTCCCTACTTTTAGGGAAATGCCAACTTTTCCCTACACTGGTCAAAACTTTATTTGTGTTAGTGTGGGATGGATGATTGGTGATGGGATGGTGATTTTCTTTGTCATCACTGAATACATAATGTCTCCTCCTCTATCAGCACTGAGTTTTGACTGTGAGGTCCTTTGTGTTTGCAGGTGTGTTGGAGACTGACTATACGGCAGCTGAGGAGGTACCTCAGGACTCGGAGGCTGTCCAGGGTGACAGGGTGTCTCTTGCCGGCAGTGTGGCCAGTGTGGGCTCTGCGGGCAGCGACGGTGCCGTGGCAACAGAGGGGACCACCGCAATCCCGCAGACGGCCAGCGTAGGCGTCTCCGACCAGCCGGCCGAACACAGCGGCATCTCTAGCTCAGGTAATTAAAAACAATGCTTAAAGAGGGTCCTTAATTGTTTTACTGCTTGCATCAAACACTATAGGGGCCAACAGCAACAATGTAAGGATCCACAAGGGGGCAGTATCACAGTGCTAGTTAAATGAATAGATCTTCTTTTGATAATTCACAAACCTCTGATAATATTCAAAATTCCAACTACATTTGAAAATGAGAATTCCGTAAAGAATAATGGGATATTGTTCTTTATCTTTTGTTATCTTCCTATGCTAGTTGTGTGATGATATTCTATGTATTCTACCTTGTTTTGAATCATTTGTTTTCCCTCAAATATTCTTATTTCATGCTGATATCACAGTTTTATCTCATAGAATATTAATTACTGTACCTATAGTGCTGAAGATGTAGCCTGTGATTTATTCCTGTTAACATGCTCATAGCTAAATACATGATACAAATATATTATACCAGGGGGAATTTCCGACTCAAACATTACATTACATTTCGCTGACGCTTTTATCTAAAGCGACATACAATTACCAATTACAGGGACATTCTCCCCGGAGTAACTGAGGGCTAAGTGCCTTACTCAAGGGCACACTAGTGGTGGTGTTCCAGGCGGGATTTGAACTCACAACCTTCCGATCTTCAGCCCACCTCACTATCCATTAGACCACCACAAACCTTCCTGTATTATTTGTTTGACATCTGATTTACCCGCTATGCCCACAGTTGAGCTGTCCAGAGAGGCGAGTCCAGCAGAAGACGGCGTTCCCGCTGCAGAAGAGGCAACAGAAGCCACGGAGGCTAACACTGGTGTGGGCGAAGAAGGAGAGGAGGAGCAGGAAGCGGATCAAAACCAGCCGGGAATCTACACCGAGCACGTGTTCACCGACCCACTGGGGGTGGGACCCACTGACTCCCCCTCTGCCGACTCACAGAGGTGAGCAGCAGTGATCTTGTTTATCTTTTCTAAAGTTTGGTGGATTTAATAAACTTGCCGTCAGACTCAACAGGCATAAAGACTGAAGGTTAACAACAAGTATGGGATGCAAAATATATATTGTTTATATTCAACAGCCCAATCGGTTAACATGTGCGTGGAAAGGACGCAGGCAGTGGTTTTCTGAAATTCAAAGTGCTTCCTCGTCCAGTGTGACCCCGACATACCTTTCCTTTATGATTTGAACACTTTTAAAGTACTTTTTTACTTTCTATTAAGAGTTGATGTGCTTAAATGGCAGTGCATAGCCAGTGGTTTTACATTCAATGTAATGTTTCATCCCTATTTATTGAATTGGTTCTTCCTTGGCCCATACTTGTCCCTCTAACTTAGTTTCTTGTAAAATCAGCAATGTTTTTTTTCTGTACTCCTGCTTACAAACCAAATGAAAAACATACAGTTACAGTTTTGTATGAAGTAAAAACACTTGTGCATCTTCTGCCTGCTGATCTAGGGGCTGCGGGTACGACGGGGAAACCTTTCCAGAAGAATCGGAGCCGTCAGACGGGGAAGTCCTGAGGATGAGCAGCGCCCTGCCCACCATGTGGCTGGGAGCTCAGAACGGATGGTGAGCAGCAGAGCAGACGCAATAATAATAATGCTTTATTTATATAGCACTTTTCATACAACACATGCAGCTCAAAGTGCTTTACAAAATGACACATCACAAGTTAAAAATTAACAACAAGAAGTTCCCCTCAGATTATTTGTTAGGAACTTTAAAGGTACATGCAGCAAAATATAACATTTTATCAGGTTAACAGACACAAGGAGGTGAAAGGTATGATAATAAAAATAAATAAAAATGAAATAAATACAGATTTCTCTCCGACAGATAAGACACAAGACAACTGAATCGATGCAACAATACAAAACCCCATAAAACAAAGTGAACATATAGGTACAACAGAAATACAAATAAAAAAATAATAGAGGGCAGCGGCCAAATATAAGTCGGGCGCTCACACAACAAATATTACGAGTGCTTGTTTTAGTGAACATTAACAGTGCTTTTTTAATATGTGACTGAAGATCAGGCTTGTTTTGGTTCAATTGTTGTTGTTTTTTTGGGCAAATGTGTCCATACAGTCATACTTCCAGCTCTATTTTTACAATTGAGTTCAATAAACCCACTCCTGAGCCATTGCATCCCTCTGATCAGCCTTTGTTGTCTCTCTGTCTCTTCCCTCCTCAGTCTGTATGTGCACTCAGCTGTGGCTCGATGGAGGAAGTGTCTCCATGCCATCAAGCTGAAAGACTCCATCCTCGGCATAGTGTGAGTACATGTGTCGTTTTTCACAGACAGACACACCAAATATAGATTGGTACATACAGGAATAAGTGTGTGAACATTGTGTGTTCCTCTCTCTTTACAGGCATGTTAAAGGGAGAGTCCTGGTGGCTCTGGCTGACGGGACATTAGCAATTTTCCACAGAAGCATCGGTGAGTCTGTGGGTTAGCGCCCTTTGTTTTCTCAGACAACATGCAGAAATATGACCATTTGAATATCCTGTAGTCTTCTCAGGTTGATATAAATATACATGGTCCATATTGTCACAGTTCATTCTACTATCGTTCGGTAAATATTTGTTAAGTTTCAGCAATTTGAAGAAGACAAATCAGAAGTTTTTATTTGGTAAAGGAGGTAAGCCTCAACAATACGATTCATGTTGGAGTGTTAAACCCAAAGTCCAGTAAACATAATCAAAAAAATAAATCTGAAAGGGCAGCGCATCCCAGTTTTTAACGTCAAGGAGGAGAAATGACTTTTATTCCATCGGTTTATCGGCCAAAAAGACAGTGAATGATTTTTGTCTTCTTGACTTTAAAAACTGGCATGTGCTACTCTTTAAAAAAAATATATATATTTTTATATATATATACCTAAAGAAGTAATTTCTTATATACCTAAAGAAGTAATTTCTTATATACCTAAAGAAGTAATTTCTTATATACCTAAAGAAGTAATTTCTTATATACCTAAAGAAGTAATTTCTTGTATACCTAAAGAAGTAATTTCTTATATACCTAAAGAAGTAATTTCACAGTTTTTAAAACAGTGTTTACACTTTTGAATATACTAGGTTTTATCTTCTGATGTTATGCACCAAAGATCATAAAGTATTTGTGTTCCTCCCACGCAGACGGTCAGTGGGATTTAACCAACTACCACCTGTTGGACCTGGGCCGGCCTCACCACTCTATCCGCTGCATGACGGTGGTCTACGACAAGGTGTGGTGCGGCTACAGGAACAAGATCTACATCATCCAGCCCAAGGCCATGAGGATAGAGGTACAGCTGTCAATATATTACTTAAATCTCACTCGAAACAGAATATTATATTGTGTAACGTTACTTTCATCTAAAATATGTTTTATAGTGACATAAATCCAATCCTACAATATTATAACAACACATTCTCATCCTTTCGTGTCTGAGCAGAAGTCGTTTGACGCCCATCCTCGTAAGGAGAGTCAGGTGCGGCAGCTGGCCTGGGTGGGGGACGGTATCTGGGTGTCCATCCGACTGGATTCAACGCTACGCTTGTTTCACGCCCACACCTACCAGCACCTCCAGGACGTGGACATCGAGCCCTACGTCAGCAAGATGTTGGGTACGCACATTTTATTCTCCTTGCCAGAGGTGGGAAGTAGTGGAGTACAAATACTTCGTTACTGTACTTAAGTACATTTTTCTGGTATCAGTACTTTACTCCACTACTTATTTTTCTGACGACTTTTTACTTTTACTTCTTACATTTTGAACACAAATACCTGTACTTTCTACTTCTTACATTTTCAAAACAGGCTGGTTCCTTTAGTGTGAATGTGTGTTTGGTGGCGTGATCATTATTATTTAGAGTCATTGCGTGCCTATTGATTTGAACACGATCCGTGTATCCATCATTTCCTGGTCTTCTCTAAAGAAGAGGGACCAATGAGAACGTTGCCGTTGTTCAGCATGGAAACATTCATTAGCTAACAATGACATTATTGTTCTATTGATATAAAGGGAGGTCAGGTACTCTTTAAGACAGTTGGTAGTTATGGGTACTTTTTACTTAGGTACATATCGAAGCCCTCTTTACTTTTACTTGAGTAAAGAAGTTTAGTCAGTATTTTTAAACATGAGTATCTGTACTTCTACTTGAGTAAAGGATGTGTGTAGTGTACTTTTGCCAACTAGTTACGTCCTTCAGAAATCCTCATGTTTTTTTTTGTGTTCTGTGTGTTGCAGGCACGGGTAAACTGGGCTTCTCCTTTGTGAGGATCACAGCTCTGATGGTGTCCTGCAGCCGGCTCTGGGTGGGAACAGGAAACGGCGTCATCATCTCCATCCCGCTGTCTGAAGGTATCGCACACCTGCACCTTAGTTTTAGAAGGATTTTAAAGTTAATGTTCAAATAGGTATGAGTATTTACGGAATACACGTGTGTGCTTTATGAACTGGACTTCCTGTGCAGTTCGACTAAATATCCCTTTCTTTTAAAGAACTTGTTGTTTTCTCTTTCCTTCCAAATGATGTTTGACTTTTGAGAAGAAGCTGTTGTTTTTCATTCATTTTAAGTTTTGGCTAATAATGTGCTAGTTATGCTTATAGAAACAATGACAGCAAATTGACACAAACCTACAGGCAGCTCTGCTTTGTCTTGTTTTAAGGATATGAAATCAGTGTCACGATAAATATGTCTGTGAGTGTGTGTTTGTGCTTCCTCCCACATATGTCCTTCTTGTATTATATATAATACAATAATATCCTTCGTATCCTGCAGCCAATAAGACAACGGGGATAGTGCCAAATCGTCCCGGCAGTGCTGTGCGGGTTTACAGTGATGACGGTTCAGACGGTGCCGTGCAGGGCAGCTGTGTGCCGTACTGCTCCATGGCTCACGCCCAGCTGTGTTTCCACGGACACCGAGATGCTGTCAAGTTCTTTGTCACCGTGCCAGGTAAGCAACAAGTGCAAGTGACAGAAACTGTGAACAACACTGCATCATTATTAACCATAAACCATTGAAAATTGCCTGCAATGTGCATCAGATAAGATCTTACAAACCAAAAGGCAATTTATTTATGTTTGTGGAGCTGCATCGATAAATACAATCTGATCAAATCTATTCTGCAACTATTTTGAATAATGGTAAATGTCTGCAAGTTTGTTGCAACTTCTCACCTTTTAATTATTTGTGTTTTTTCTCTGTTTTATAACATTGCAAATTAAATATCTATAGGACTTCCACTGTTTATCAGATCAAAGACATTTGAAGACGTTATCATGGATGTGTTTTTTAACTACTTTGACATTTCATATGATTAAACAAGAAAATATGCACATGAATTGATCATGAAGACAGTTGATCAATTCCAGCAGCACCTTTATAATGCAAATGATCCTGTCAATGAGTTATGCTGTTTATGTAGCAAACAGGGCAGATGCTTTGGGATTATAGCTTCCTCATTACTGTCAAAAGAAAACTTACTTTAATGTCTTTTTTATTAGTGTAATTATTTTTGTTTTTGTGTCACAGGTCAGGCGATGCCCCCTCCCGGCAGTGCAGATTCGGGCTCTGATGAACCCCCCTCTGAATCCTCGGACACAGCAACCTCTGAGCCCAAAACCTTCCTGGTGATGAGTGGAGGAGAAGGGTACATTGACTTCAGAATGGGTGAGTATGTCACAGCATTAACGAAGTGTATACACAAGTTACATTTCCTTTTGGTTTAATCCTAAATATTAACGGTTGTATCAGAATCTACTTTAACAATAATGTTTACTAGACTACTTTCTGACTTAAAGGTCACCTATTATGAAAAGTCCACGTTTTTATGTATTTTCTACATCAACATGTGTCTCCTCTGTGGAAAGAGATTCTGAACATTTCAGGAAAAAAGATTCGCTCACTTTTTGTCCTGATCCATTTATATAAAAACTTGTCTGAAAATGAGCTGATCAGATTTTGGCCACTTTATGATGTCATAACGATTTTTGTATGACACCCCCCCCCCCACCCCCCACCTTATCACCTGAATCTCCTCCTAGAGCACCATTGTATTCTTTTTAACCAAATATCTCTCAGAGGGGCGTGGGGAGGGGCTCCTTATTTTCATCTAAAGTAACAGACAGAGAATCAGCACTTTTGAAACAGGGCTGAAACAGAGGGGATTATGGGTAATGCTACAAAGATCTATTTGGTATTTGGAGCCAAACACTTCAGAGACATGTTTTGTATATATCTGAGACCTATAATATATTGATGAAAAACAGTATGATAGGGGACCTTTAAAGCTAATTTAGCTGGTGCATAGAGACTACACATCTCCACTGTTATGCCGTTTGATTGACACATCGTCCTCCTCCCCTCTAGGTGATGAAAGCGTGGAGTTGGACGGTTTATCAGAGCCAGCAGCCAGTCAGCAGTCTCCGCCCACCAAGGTCGAGCGGAGCCACCTCATCGTCTGGCAGGTGTCAAACTCTCACGATTGAAGAAATAATAATCACAGACTGTTGGGCCACCCACCGAACCCCTGCATGTCCTCCTCCAAGTTTTTTATTTGATATTACTGATTGTTTTTAATGCCTGAGTAGTTGAATACTTTGTAAAAAAAAAATATTTTTAGTCCATGTTTTGTACAGTTTATTCTTTATGAATTTGAATGAGTTGTGGTGAGGCTTGTGTTAACTTAAGGAATCCGTCCGAGTGTTCCCTGCTGCTGGGTCGCATGTTGGAAAAGCCGGTGCACTCTGGGAAAAAGCTGAGTTGGCGCAAAGAAAGCGGTGAGCATAGTTTGATCAGGTAATGAATGGAAGTTGTTTGTTTCTCAAATGTTAAAAAAGGGATCGATATGGAAAGTAAAAGGGAAAAGCGCTTTAAAAAAAAAAAGGGAGAAGAAAGTTGAGCTGAAGTATATTTTATATTGAACACATAGAATTTTACATTTGTAAAATATTGTCTGTGTGAGCTTCAGGTGTGTGTGTGTGTGTGTGTGTATGCATTCAATGAGCATTTTTATTATCTTAACCATTACGGCTGGGCGTCAAAATATGTTCCCTACAAGGTGTGTTTTCTAAGGCTGATTACTCTACTGTATGGTCTGATTACTAGAAAGCAGCTTGCACGTACCAGTGGTAAATTAAATGTGCTTTTGGTCAGCAAAAGTGCTTAAACATCTTGAGAGGTCGTATATTGAATGAAACCAAGTCCTATTGGCCACTGGTTTGTTTTTAATCACCTAAATAATGTCTTAGCAGTTTGGGCACTGCTACTGAAAACAATAACCATCTCACTGTAGCGCAGGTTAGCATTAGCCTGCATGGGGGAAACCATTTCAAACTATACTCCTGTTTGTCGTGTTAGGGAAAATCTGTCCGTGCCACCAGCTTGGTGCTTCAACTCATTGGCACTTTAAAATGTAATTTGATGTTTGGAAGAACACTCCTAGTTTTGTACTCTATAAACCACTATGTTCTAATCATGTGAAGGAAACAAATGTACAAACTTGTAGCACCCCAGTACCCAAAGGACGAAAGAAGAAGCACCGTGAAACTGACTTATTATTTTATTCATCATTCCAACCTAAAACGTATTCAATAATTGAAGGGTGTGTTTTCAGGGTGTCATTTTACTGGGAAATAAGCTTGAATAATGAAATCTGACTAAACATTTTTTGTGTGGCACTTTCTAACGGACATGCGCACAGCACTAAAGGGAGACTTCCTGATTGCTTCATCATTCCTTGTTTTGTTGTTACAAATGCATTTGAAGGACTGGAAGGCAATTCATTGTTTGTGTTTTGTATTCATGCGTAAGACACTTTTATTTGCAAGATGTCAATATTAAGCAGGTGTTTTAATTTGTTTTTATATCTTAAGTTGGACCACGATTGGTCTTCAGTCTATTTTAAAATAGTGACTTTCTATTTTGTTGTTGCCATTCCAGTATTTATTTCCTTTGTTGACGAGCCTACCTTGGTTCAGAATGTAACTTTCTACATGAGCAAAATAGGCTATTATAAAAAGTAATAGTCAGATGGGTTTGAGTGATTGTTAATAATGGACAAATAAACAATATCAATGTAACCATGTTGGACATTTTTGACAAACCATGACATAAAGTGTGCAAACAATAGTTTTCCGATCAAGATTCATGTACTAAGCTATGCATGTTTTGTTTTTTGTGTATTTTTTAAAAGAGGACACTGCTATGTTTTCAGCTCAGTCTGTGTATTGCCACCGTTTTGGGTGGGGTTTGTGTGTACAGTACATGTGTACATGTGTACATGTAGGAGTTTGAACGCAGGACACAATTTCCAGTGTGTGTGTTTGATTTTGAAATGTGCGGTGTATGTGTGCTCACTGTTTGTCCATCTGTAATACTCCAGAGACTGGTCACACTAACCTGGTGCCTCTCTGGATGCCATAACAGTGATTCCTCCTGGTCAATGTTTGCTAATACAGCATCATAGCCTTATTTTTAACAATCTATTAAACTCAGTTTCATGGAGACATTTCTGTTATGTGTTTTCATTGAAGAAAAAAATACCGTTACCACGGAGTGTCGAAGGTGAAATGTTATGTTTGTTCTCAGGTTCATATTTTACATGTTTGAATGTTCACAAACCAGAGGCCTGCGTCGTCAACACAGTCATACTATCTGATATACTTTACTGTGGCATGCTATGCTATGCTATGCGTTCTTTATTACGTTTTTTGACATACTATAAAAAAAAATGTGGGCATTTTAATGGATTTTTTTTATGGGACAGTTTACATATATTTGAGGTTCAGTTTATCTACACCTGTAGGCAGATAACAGACAACAAACTTTTCCGGCTGGTCGCAGCGTGCAGATCCACCCTTATTTATTATTATTTTATGACCTTTAATGAAATACTGTGGCTTTTTATGGCTTACTATACCATAGCCTTTTATATGGATTTTTAAAAATTAAAAACAATATGACTTTTTTTTTATAGAATAGGCCTACTATACTATGACATGACTGTTGGTTATTGGTAGGCGCTCCAGAAACCCAAATGTATCTGCACAAACACAAATGTTAGTGATGAGGTCTTATGAACACAAACATTTAGTGTTTTTGTCTTTTTTAAAGGTTTTAATCTCGCAGAGCTCTATTGGGAAAAGAAGATTTGATAAACTTTCTTGCACCAATCAAGATTTGATCCAGATTGAAGCCATCTACCGAATGTTAAGCATTTAATATATACTACCTTTACAGACAAAAAATCACAATCCTCTGGTGTTTACCAAAGGATTGTGATTTCATCATAAAAGGAAAAGTTGAACATTCCACTGTTCTTCCTTCAATACATCCTCTGTAACTGGATATTTATGCCATTTACTGGGTGTCTTATGTGCTTATCTGAAGAAATACTTGTGACACTGTAACTCAAATCCATCCCACTACCTACTGTACAGGCCTAAGGACGAATACTCAGTTCAGATTTTAAGATAACTCATTGCTTAAACTGACAAGGCACATTGTAATGATAACAATTTAAAAACACAAGAAATGTACCCATATCACCAGCGGATGGTGCTATAGGTTCATTTTCCAAAATGGAGTGTCCTCTCAGTTCCACAGCGGTCACATTCAGATACGATTATCATCTCGGTAACAAAGGACATAATGCCTTTTGTGGAATGTCAGGCTTCATTGTGGGCCAGGCTTTTATGATTATATGCTTTGTTCCATCATCTCGTTACAGCTTAAGTAAACTCATGTGATTATTAGGTTACACAACAATCAAATAATTAGTACAATGAATGAAACTTCCACGCAATATGTTCAACATTTGCTCTCAATATTCAATATAGCATATAAACTGTTTGAATAAGATATGCTTGTTGATGCCCAGGATGAGGAAACACTGCTGCTAAATTGAAGGTGGCAACACGGACATATTGTCCCAGTCAGCTGTGCTCATCTTTTCTTCAGCCGGTAGGAGGCTGTGTCGCTCAATGCTGCTGTAAGATGCAGCATCACCCCACATAACAGTTTCCATCAAATTACATCACAGCGTAAAGCCCACCTCCGTCCCTCCATCCCACCTCACCCACTCCTCCTCCTCTTCCTCCGCCATGCGTGGGCTGGCGGTGAGGCCTGCACACACATACAAAGAGCTTTCTGACGTCACAGAGTGAGTTGCAGTCCAGATGGGGGATTCTTGAGACTCTGACATGCCAGGCATGTGCTGCATTTCAGCTTGGATGGGAGAACTGATCCTAGCTTCCTGTGTCTGATGGAGGGGAAGGGGACAAAAAGTACTTTCAGTTACAGATTGTAGATCCATTTTTAAACAGGAGTTTGAAAGCCTCGGCTGATGTTGCCGTCTTTAGATTCAAAGGCAGGGAGACCTACAGTTTGGATGATCCATTTTCTAAAGATGAAGCAGCGAGATTCAACTTTTATGGCTACTTTACATTAATGTTGCAGGGATAACAAAAACAAGTTTAAAATTGCTGTGTCGCTGCTCTTTATGCTAAGTGTTTAGCATGGAGCTTTACAGGGACACAGATAACAGTAACATGTGCCAACAGGCCTCAATATGTGGAGGAGAGTTAAACTGTTACTCCCTGATGCCCTCTGTGTGTCACCCTCTGTCTTCAGATCCATAAAGCCTCGTCAAAGAAAAACTATTATGAGGAGCCTTGCTCTCTGTTGCTCAAAAAAACCATACTTCACTCATCACAAGGAGGTCCCTTTTGTGTTCTTTCTTAGTTTGATGAAGTGGATGTTTTCATCTATGGTTCTTAGCTTGGTACACATCAGTGACATGAAGAGAACTTCAAGGAGAACAGGAACTTTTCTCCAGAAGAAAAGAAGAATGAGTTGTTTCTCTCATGACATGTGTTGTTCTGACAAAAAGCACCTTTATGAAAGCTTTAATGATGTGCAGTTGTATTCTTAAATATCTGTGTAGCAGTTTGTTGAGTGTTCTTGACTAGTGGTTAAGCAGGCTGGGTGAAAGCAAAGTGGGGAAGGGGAGAAATCCAAGAGGTCTATAAACAGTTGTTGAAACGAAAATGGAAAGGATGAAGTTAAGAGAGAGAGGGGGCCCGGCAGATTACACTGGAGTGGAAAATACATATTATCAGGACTCCCTACAGGGAGTGCAGCTGGAAGGCTTGGTCAACAACAACAAGTGTGTGTGTTTTACATTTACCCAGACTCAAAAGTATTCTTCCTGCAGCTTGAGGAGAGAGATAGTGTAGTATTTTGTTTTTATTTAGTACATTTGAATTAAAACATGTTCACAAGTCATGAATATTAATGTAACACTGACTTTCTGAACACAGTCAAGGCTCTTCTTCCTGCGTTTACATTTCCAGATAGCCCTCTGCTGCTTGTTATAGAGACAGCATCTACAGCAGCACAAAGTCACATTACTGCTACACCAACAGAGTGAAGCTGTTTAATCTAGAAGATTATAATATTACAAATGTTTTTCTTTTACATCCAAAAAATGGCAGAAAATTAGCTTGAATGGCCTTTAACTCTTATAATGAGCCACAATGTCCTTAAAAATAGCATTGGTGTATTTTCCTTTAGAAGACAACAGAACAGTCAGCTTCCCCCGGCCCCGGTGAGAGCGCCCTTGGCCCTCCCATGGAGGTGCGCAGTATTTCACCGTGATGGGCTGGGCTAAGCATTTTCTGAGCCAATACAGCACCGCAACACAGGCTTCTCAGAGCGTGCTTTGCACACCAACGCCAGCCCGCAGGTGAAGTCTCATCACCGCTGAAATCTCATTAGCTGAATATAAAAGTAGACAGGCGAAATGGGCTGTTGGCTGAGGTGTTTGTGTGAAGGCCTATTTATAGCAAATGACTAAAGTGCTGAGGGTACTGAAAGTGGGGACACAGTTTAGTGAGACACCATGTGCTAGCAGTGAGGCAGAGGTTATACCTGTATATGGGTGCAAGCCAGTCAGATCCTCGTCCTTCCTCTCTCTCTCCTTCTCCTTTACTATATTTAGGTACAGCTTTTGTAGTGTGCGGCCAACCCTTGTTTGCAGAATAGGAGGAAACCTGAATCTTATGTCCACCCTGCTGCCCTCTTTCTCTTTCTGTTAATGCTGAATTTGAACTTTAGATGTTAGAAATGGGTTGTTTTTCCCAGCATTTGTAACTGGGTGCATGTTTTGCATCCACGTAGGAGAAGAAGAAAAAAACATATTAGGGGCGTAGTAATAAGAGTTTAAATATCTTATATGTTTAATAATTTAGCATCTGCAGTATGTGTGTGCCGCTCTTTTAATACGTGTGTGTTTGTGAGTGACATCGCTGCCCAGCAAGACACGACAGTCGGCCACAAGCAGCAGGGAGATGTGGGTAATATTACCCACATCTCCTCCTTTATTTATCCCCTCTGCCCAAGGGTCTGGTTACTCTTTCATCGGTGACGTAGCCCTGCTGCTCTCCTCCTCCCTCTCTGTCTCTGTCATTTCTTTTGCACTGTTGTGTTTCTGCATGCAGGCAGCCACTGGAGGATTTTAGTCGAATCAGCTTCTCTTTTGAATCGTATGATTCATAGGCATGGTAGTTATGTATGCAGAGGCACTCAAAGCTGTCATGAACAATTCCTGACAATAATCACACTTTTGCGATCCAGCTTTATATCTAAAAAAGCATACAATTATTGGTGTGTAGGGTAGGATTTTGCTTTTAAGCATGAGTACATTAATGGATAACCAAGATGCCTATATATGCCAAAATAAATGTTTAGTATATCCAAACGAATACATTTGTCAAATACATTTGCATTCTTGCTATAGAAAAGGAAGATCAAAAGGACTACACTGCCTGATTTAGAAATAGCGATGTATCCACTAGCCGTTAGCTTAGAAAAAATAACTTAAAACAGAGAGAAAAGCTCTGTCCAAAATGTAACTGCTAGCAACTCTCATATGTAGCATAATACCATCACACAAACAGGGAAAGTAAATAAACCTTTTTGATTTGAAAAAGAGTAGGTTATGCCCAATCCTTTGGATTTAATTCCAAAGATAACATGACAAAGTCAAACTGCATCTTTCTACAAGGTAATGGACAAGTTGGTGTAACACTAAAGTCTACGCTCAGATAGTTTCCTGTGAAATGGAAATATATGGGTTGTGCTTCTGCATACTGTATAAATAATTAAGCCGTTGTCATACAGGTGACTCACAATGTGCCCAGCGGTGTGAGGCTGCCACTTCCTGCTCATGTCCCTGTTGTCTATCCTCCCTCGATCTCCGCCAAACTCCTCCACTTCTCTTTCAGGCTGTTCCACAACACCCTCCCTTATTTCACATCTCCATCATCCTCCATCTCCTCCATCTCCTCCATCTCCTCCATCTCCTCCATCTCCTCCATCTCCTCCATCTCTCCAGGATCCTTTAGACCCCCCACAGAGAGGTCTCACTGTTGGGCTACATCCTAGCTTTTGATCCCTCAGTGTTGTATTTGATGAAGCTCCACCCCGGGCTCTGAGCTGCACTGACCTTTCCCATGG